TCCCAGAATCCCCCAGCCAGCCATGCTGGCTGGGGAATTCTGGGAGTTGAAGGCCATACCATTTAAAGCTGCCATGGTTGAAAAACTCCAGTCTAGACCCAACTTTATTGGATCTTTGCACCCTAAAAGAATCTTGTTAAGGATCAGCTGCTGTAACTTCCAAGTACCCAAAGCTGGGACCTTTCGTGCAGCTTTTGGGCAAGAAATCCGTTATCTGTCCACTCTTACCAAACCGGGTGCCCCGAGAGAAACTAGGGTTATAACTACCACCGGTGACGTGGATCAGCACCTCCATACCACTCAAGATGTGTTCTCCTTTTTTTTTAAATCACAAACCTGAATCCTTCAGATTCCACAAAGCACCATGAACGAGTTGGTGAACCATTTGCACATCTATTAACAATGAGCAGTTGCAGCCACCGAGATCCATTGGCTGCCTGCGTTTGAGCATCCGCATCGAAGATTTGCTGCAGGGAGAGCTCCCCAACAATCGAAGACCGGACTTCCATTAGGGAAAAACATTCCTTGCTTGAGTGACTACCAGTGTGTTCAGTTCAGTAATTCTAACTGAATTAAGAAGTTAATTAGAGGCCAGCTCAGCATCTCAGGCAAAATGGGAAGTATACAGTACAAATTCAGTAACTTTCAACTGCTCTTGGACTCTTACAGCCCGGGGCAAATCGCATTTGCCTCTGGCTGATAGCCCATAAATGCAGAATTTGAGGAAGGAGGTCAATGTTAATCTGTTTACTTGCACCCACATTTAGCCAGAATGACTCAAGGGACCAAACACAGGGGTTTAGGCCTGGTAATGGCAAAATGAAGGTTGTTAAGTATTTGAATTGGGCACTTCTTAAAGACTCAATTTTGTAGCTTAGTACTACGATAGCTTTCTAACATGGGTGAATAAAGCTCTATGTGGCAGCTGTTTTTCCATTTGGGCAAGCTGCTGATGCAACGATACTAACAAAATCATTTTTAATGCCCTTCCTGCCTTCCCACTTCTGATTTGGTATTCCAGTTGCCATTTCATCCACCAGGGAAATTTCAAGCCAATTTCTCTGTATTCTTGTTTAGAGAAATGCAGTTAGGATGCCGAGGAAGCAATCACTGCAGGCGAGATCCTATTCTTGCTCGCTTAACTGTGGAGAGCGCCCGATACAACGGAAGCCTTCTAAGACGGAAGGAACGCTACCTGAAAGCTTGTAGAACTGAGCAATGACCTCCAAATCTTCCTCACTGAACAGTCTCCGGTCATCATCGTTCTCCAGGACAGCCTCGAGGACCATCAGAAAATTTCGAAGATAATAGGGGTGCCCGGCTGAGTCCACTGCAGGCCCGGTGCTCCCACTCGAACTAGGTAAACTTGCTTCTTCTAAAGCAGCCAAACACGCCTCATCCTCGACTTCAGTTCCTGCATCTTCCATAGGAAGCAGTTCCCCAGCATCTCCTGTGGAAAAGGAGAACTTCTGCGTCGGATTGTGACGGGCTTCTTCTGTCGCTGGATCCGGCTCGTTGGAGGAAAAATAGCGGGATTCCAACTCAGACAGCTCTTCTTTAGCATAAGCTACTGTCCACTGTTCCTTCACAGCTCCACATTGGGGAACATCTGGATTTTCCTGGGGGTTATTTAGCTGCCAATGGCCTTTTCTTGACGGCCCAAGTTCACTGCTCCCTAGAGAACATGACCCCAGATCAGACTCCTCCAAACCATCAGAGAGAGGTCCTGAGTCATCTTCTTGCCCTGCGCTTGGGATTGCACACTCCTTACTGAAACCCTCCAAAGCACCGGGACATCTCTGAAATCTTGGTGGGGGTGATTGGTTCTCTTTCAGGGGGCCTTCACCCAAAGCGGCAGGTTTCTGCTCTGGGGTGCCAACCTGAGTTGCACAGGGCTGGTCATCTTGAGTCAACCCATCATCGCTGTGAGCACGCAACCTCCGGGACAGCCTGGTCGACAGGGAGAGATTCTTAATGGCACAAACCCTAGGTTGATCATCGAGCAGCGCTAGTTTTCCAACCTTCTTGAAATAAGGACTCGTCCGTTCTCCCGCCCCTCCTTTTGTGCCAAGGCTGTCTTCTCCTGAAAGGCCACGATTCTTCTCTGGAGTGGAGCTCTGGCTTGCAAAATATGGACTCCAACCCCCAGCCTCAGTTTCAGCGGACGGTCCAGGGGTGACCTCCGATGCTGAGCCAATCAGAGTCACGTCCTCCCCGTTCTGGTCATTTCTGCACCCTTCGTCAATATGCTGGTTGATTCCGTATCTTGGTACCATCTGTCCACATAAAGGGCAGGCAATTCTGGTGGGGGGAGCATTGTTAAAAAAGGAAACAATAGAGGGAGAGTCTGGAGCTAAAGACGGCCGCTCTTTGGTTTCCAAAACATTTTTTCTTGCAGTTTTTTTATTGTTGTTACTGAGGGATAAGCTTCTCCTGGGCCTTTTCTTGCCTGCAGGCCCATCTTCTGCCATTACAGGACCCTAAAGCATGGTGAAAACAGCTTCTTTTCAAGCCAACAGAAATCCTCTCTGCCCCCAGTTGCTGCACATTCTCCTCTGTCCTGCGGGGGGTGGGGGGCTGGGCGGGAAAAAAAAAGAAGCAAAAGCCATTTTAAAGTTTTGCAGAAAGAATAATAATGTAGAATTATGATTTTTTCCCTTTGTGAAAAAGTAAACGCATTTCAAAAAGGGCCAAAGAATGTCATCAACTGAGTTTCCTAATATGCTTAATGTGCCATTGAGGCGGTCATAGGGTCTGGATAAAAGTTTTAGCAGAGATGTGGTGCGTTAAACCGTGATTTCTTCTAGATCTGCTTCCAAGTTGGACTTAATGGAGAACCTGTCCAAGATTGTTGGTTTAAAAAGAAAAGTCTTGAGCACCTTGTATAATTAAGGAAGAGTTGGAGCTCTGCAAGAGATCTTGCATTCTAGGGCTTACTGCCTGCAGATACCAATAATAATAATAATAATAATAATAATAATAATAATAATAAT